CGCCACAGGCCTGCAAGATCCCAGGCCCCTTTTGTCTGGGACAAAAGGAGATAGGTGTGGGGGTCACTGACTGACCAGCAGTGTGGCCTGGGCAGGCCTGCGTGGGCTGAGCCACTGTCACATGAGCCACTGTCATGGTTGACCTTGGCTCCCACTTCTCTTCTACCCCCTTGCTATATGCGTCCACAGGGACAACCAGCTAAAAGGCTAAGTGGCACTGAGCTGGATCACAGGACTCCCCGCCTCTCCACCCCATTGCTGACCCACTATCCCCCAGAAAGTCCAACACCAATAAGGCAGGGAGAGGAGGCGGGGACGGCTGTTGGGGCTGGCCTGGAGGAGGCCAGATGAAGGGGGCTTGGAAGAAGAGGCCCTCCAGGTTCTGTCTGCCATCAGCCTGGGTCTGGTCCACTGCTTACTTTCTGTGTGACAAGTTTCTTCCCCTCTTGGGGCCCCAGTCTCTCCACTTGAAGAAGGAGAATATGGAACAAGACAGCTCATCAACAGATGGGGCTGTGGCTAAGCGATAGAGCGCTCGCCTGGCATATGCAAGGCACTGGGTTCGATCCTCACCACCACGTAAAAATAAATAAATTAAATAAAGGTATCGTGTCCAACTACAACTAAAAATCAAAACATGTATTTAAAAAAATCAGGCCCCCACACCTCTGATTTTGGCGGGTTCTGTGTGGATGGGCTCTGGAACCCAGCTGCCTGGGTTTAAGGCCCAGCACTTCCATGTACCAACCATGGGACTCTGAGCAAATAATCTGCCCTCTTTGGGTCTCAGTTTCCTCACTTGTCAAAGAAGTGCAGGAATTGTACATGCTTCATCAGATGGAATAGAATGACACAGGCCAAGTGCCTGGCACGCAGCAGGTATGTGGCAAATGTGAGGTCAAGGTTTGGGGTGAAGAAGTTCAGGCTGAGCACCAGGATCTGAAGTTGGGGATGAAAGGGGAGGGTCCAGAGGAGGTGTATGGAGCTAGTGCTTTGTAAACTACACTCCAGGTAACCCAGGGGCAGGACCCAGGCATCTCTGAGGCTCTGCTCTCCTGGCCTGCACTCCTTCCTCATTCAGGCACCTAGGAACACCCCATACCCCAAGCGGGAAACCCCAGGCCCAGCAGGCAACTGCAGTGATGGCAGCACAGAGACCACACGGGGGCAGCAGAGAATCGACTGGGACAGGCAGAGACTCCTGGGAATCAGACTCAGGAAGGTGGGGACAGGGTGTCGGGAATGGGGCAGAAGCTGGGGAGCAGGAAGGGGCTGAGGAGCGGTCTATAAACAGTGCCCTGGCCAGGCCCCCTCTGGTATGTCACACACTCATCCCAGCAAGCTTTGGTTCCTTTCCGCCAGCACACCTGCCTGCCGCCTTCTTCCTCTTCACTCCATCCTTTTCCTCCCCACCCCTTGCTCAGCCAGCCAGGCCTTCCCTTGGACACAACATCCTGAGCCACAGCTCATGCCCACCTGACACACACTGGAGCACAGCAGTGAGTCTACCATGGTCCCCGCCCTTGAAGTGGCCATGCCCTGCCTGGGGCTAAACCATACTATCTGGTCCCTTGCATTGCAAGACTGAGGGCTGGTCCAGCCTCTCTGCTCCTCCCGTGTTTTCTTTGGGGCAGTCATTCACTCTACGGGATTCAGAAAGGACTCCCAGCTCAGGATTGGTGGGGCCTGGAGGGGCTGAGTCACCCACAGGCTGAAAATCAACAGTGGCCACAGTAAAGAGCAAAATAGTAAACAGTGCCCTGGCCAGGCCGACTGTGTGACCTGGGCACCACCCCATCCAAAAGTAAACTCCAGGAAAACAATGTGGTCCAGAAGATTGGGGGGAAATTCACCAACCGGGCAGATGGCCATGGCCCAGTGATTAATCTGCCTCTTGCAGGAGCACAAGCATAAGGTGGGGTGAGGCTGGGTTGGACATCAGGAGATCAAATCTTGCCTCTGGTTCTGCTGGCCTAAGACAATCTGTGGCCACTCTCTAAGACTCAGTTCCCAAATCCATAAAATGGGGAAGGCAGCTCCCTGGCCCTGCCCACCTTGCAGTTTGAGAGCTGAATGCAGTAACACACGTGAGGGGTGATGTTAGGGGTCTGATTTTGAGGTCACACCTGGGTCCAAATTCTAGTTTGGCCTCTTACTAGCTGCGGAGCTCAGACAAGGACTAATCTCTCTGAGCCTTGGGTTCCTCATCTACAAAATGGGACTAAAAACTCCCACCTCCTGCACGTGGTTTGCATTCCATTAATGGGCACTGTGACTATTAGGCAAAGTTCAGAGAAACTGTAAAGCATGACAGCCATCAAGCATGTCATTAGGATGATTATTCCTATAGCAACGGAGGCCTGACTCTCAGCTCCCTCCACCCTCAGTCTGGCCCCACCTGCCTTCCAGCTTGCCTGATGACAGCAGCCTGGAACACAGGCGATGACGAGGCTGACAGCTGATCTGGGGGACTGGGCCCCTCCTCACCACTCCTTGGGCGGGGAGCCCTGCTCAGTAGCTACACGCCCAGCCAGTCACCGCCCAGCCCTGTGGTAGTTTCGGGGAGGTAGGGACACCTGAAAGGTGGAGCCGTCCTAGGGAGGCTCCCTCCGCCCAGGTGAAGCTCTATTCAGCCTGCTGAGCCAGCCTTGAGGGTGAGCTGGGACAGGAATGAGGGGCGTGGGGCTCTGCTCCTCACCCACAGGCCTCTGCCCTGTTCCCTTAAGCTTCACTTCAACATCCAGTCCAAAATCTGAGGAGACAGCTTGGGTTCATTTTTTAAAGGTTTAAACTCTGGGGAGGTCAGGTGACAGTAAGTTTCCAGTTTGATATTGGATTTACTCCTGGCATCCAAAGTGTTCCAAGCACCAGCTCCCAACCAAAGGGTGCCCGCTGCCCTTCCTGGGAAGGATGGGGGCGGGGCTCCCCTCACTCTGCCTCCACACCATGGCACAGGCCGCCTCCTCATTTGGAACACCCCTTTTTCTCTCTCATTCCACCGTGTTTTACTCATTCCTTAAGACTCCGGCCTCTCCTGTAAGAAGGGTTTTCTGACCCCCCCCATCCTGGGTGAGGAGCCCCTTTCCCCTACTCCTGTCCCACTGCCTGTCCCTCCCTGGCGTGGGTCTTATCACACTAAGGTCCTGCCTGTCTCCCATTCTAGGCTGAGGGCTTCTCAAAGAAGGGACCTTGTCCTGAACAGTTCCCAAGCCCCAGGCCCTGGGAAACTGGGACCATTATTTGCTGGTTAAACCCAAAGAACCCCTCGCGTCAGACCATGCTTTAAGCACCTTATGAATAGAAGGTTCCATGGCTTTCCCTAGATCACGTGCCAGCCAAGGTGAAACAAGTGGTCAGCCACCTGCAGCAGGCTTCCGGGTGCTGAACGAGGGGGCAGGGTAGGCCACCCCCTTCCCACCTGGCCTGAAACACCTGGAGGGAGGACCGTGCTGAGCTCGGTGTCATTCATTCGTTCATGCGGCAAAGGTCACTGCTCTCGCTCAGAGCCACTTCCCTCCCAGGTGAAGCCGGCCAGGCGCCTCGCTCCCTGTCCGCACCGCAGCCCCTCTAGGGGGCCCAGCTTCTCGTCTCCTCCCCTTCAAGGCCAGGGTGCCCTCCCGAGGACCCAGGGCTCCTGTGGCCCCAGAGCCCGCACACAGCAGATGCTCGATCGGTGCTTCCCGGGCGGT